GTGATTGGATATAAATCAAAACTGATTTTGATTGGATTTTGATCAAAATGGGTCAATTTTAAATAAAGTTGGTTGTGCGAGTTGTTGAACATTTTAAATAATATTTAAAATATAATGATTAAATTTGATGTGATGTAAAAACATGGGAGCGATTATTAGTAATAATATACAGATAAAAATATATAATCAGATAATTAATAATGAATTAAAATTGATGTGATGCGTGAGGATAATTAATTTGTACACCCTCCATTTTGAAATATAAGGCATATAAGGAATTCTCAAATTTTTTGAATTATATGGCGCAAATCAAAATCAAGGCAAATTAGTCCATTTTCTGTCAAATATACCCTCATTTATAGCTGCAACCATAACAATAAATACATAGTGATTTTCAATAAATAAGGTTAGTTTAGTCAATTTACTTATTAATTAATGTCTCCTTAATATTTGTACAAAAACCTTAAACGCCTTATATTTCAAAATGGAGGGAGTATTATTTAATTATATTGATAACATTGAAGAGAATCATGTTGAATTAAACCTAATTTAAGACTTCCAATGTTTTGGGATATTCAATTGATACTTTTTGAGATTCTCCAAAAGTTTACATGTATTCAATTAAAATCCCAAAAGTCTCAAAAATCCCGAATGAATACACTAAAATAATTAAAATCTCAAAGTCTTTAAAAATCAAGAGTGAAATACTCTCCTTAGTTTTATGTTCACAGCGTTAGGTGCACAATGGAAATGGTGTTGGTTTTTTTTTATAATCGTAACGACAAATACTACTATATAAACTCAAAGTGTGTACAATGGGTAAACAAATGGTAACAAAGATAACTAGTACAGATCCGGTGCGATGCATGGGGTGCACAATTTTAAAGCCATTTATCCAGCCTTATAATTATATAAATGAATAAAGAAAAATATACAGAATATATATAGTACGTGACATGTGCGAGGCACGGGATATATTTATTTGGGGATTATTATACTATAAGATGCAGTATTCAATAAAAGTTTTACAATACACGAAAATAAATATAAATAATGTAAATATCTAAATACATACACGATATTTGGAATAAATAAACCAAATTGTAAATATGAAAATATAATTTAAAAAAAAAAATCGAAAATATATTTCAAGAAATATGTACAAAATATCTAAATACATACACGAAAAAAAATTATATACGTTTCAAATTTCAAAATTAAAACAAAAATTCAAAATTTGGCTTACAGTTTTATCATGCAGAACCAACTCGAGATATGATTTGTATGTGTTGCCCCAGTCTTGGAAAAACATTCTCACAATTCGAACTTTGAGCATAGGTCTATAAGACCTATTGACTTGTTTGATTAACCAAAATCTTTGATTCATTGTTTTGAATAAAAGACTGATTGGGGATATATTTTTTGTTCGCAGGAGGTTGATAGTGAGGAAGATGATGACTCGATATTTTGAGGTTTGTAATTTATGTAGAGTAGATATATATTGTTGTTAATATTTTTATTAGAAAATTTGAATTTGAATATACAAAAATCGGTTTGAACAAAATCAGAACTGATTTATATACAATTAAATAATAAATAAAGTCTTTTTTATTTTTGTAAAAATTTTACGTATTTTTTTTTACTTATCAAATGTTATGGGTGTTTTTTTAAACCGATTTTATGGGTTATAATACAAATACAATTAGAGAATTGAACAAAATCAGAATAGATTTCCATACAATTAGATAATAAGAAGGAATTGGATAATGAAAAAAAAGAATTAAATAAGAAATTTTGAATCTGCCTTTTTTTAGTATAGATAGACTTTACGTACAAATTTTGACTTCATCGATTTTATGGGATTTGTTTTGACAAAATCGATGTCAATATGGAATAAGACAAATAAATAAAGCCTTTTTTATTTTGGTAAAGATTTTACGTCTTTTTTTACTTATCATATGTTATGAGATATTTTTTCTTAAACTGATAAATAAATAAAATAATTAAGTAAAATTCTGGATAGAAATAATAATGCATTAATTACGTTGACTTTTTAACCTACTAAATTTGGTAAATATGATACCTTATTATATAAGTATAGAGTTTGATTGTTTTTGTTCACCCTATTTTATGAGATTTTTTATGTCAAGATAAGAAAGATTAAAATTTAGAAGTTCAGCATAAATTTATAAGAAGGATTTTTGTATGGGATTTACGTACAAAATTTTTTATGTTAAGATTTATAAAAAGGATTTTTTATGTCAACATGAATTATAAATGCATTAATTACTCCTTGATAAAATTAGAAGTTCATTAATTAAGTTTGACTTTTCTACCTACTATATTTAATAAATAGAATCCCCTTTAATATAAGTATAGATATAGATTTCTAATTGTCAAGAGACATAAAAAGACGAACAACCGGATGAGTCACTAACATAGAGCTCCTCCTCCACAACGGGATTAACCCAACTCTCAAACCATAAAAGACTAGAATACTCCGCATAGGAGACTGTCCCTTCGGGGACATCCGATAAAATTGGAACGATACATAGAAGATTGGCATGACCCCTGCACAAGGGTGACACGCATAAATCGAGAAATGGTCTACTCCGCATAGGAGACTAACTTACTACACGATGAGATACTAACAAGAAGATAAACAACTACAAAAATAGAAAGGAAAAAATCAAACTAATAAACTAGGAGCGAAAGAGCATAATCCAACACATGAGCCCAAAAACCCGACGACACCCGCAAATGAACACCGCCAACGATCTAAAGAGCACAATCCAACACACCTAAAAGCCTTCAAGACTAAAAAGAAAAAACTCCATACAAACTCTCGAACCTAAGAACTCCGGAACAAATTGACAAAAAATCGAAACTCGAGTCCAGATCTGACAATCAAGAGCGGATCTAGAAAAGAGTGGAAAATCGACATCCCAAACACTCGAGTCCAGGTCAGACAATCAAGCGAAGAAAGAGAGACATCGTCTTCAACTGGAGGAATCCCGGCGCTGACCTTCTCCGGTGGTCGAAAGAGGGGCGGCAAGGGGATTTGCATTTTTTTTTCTTTTCCTTCTATTTCTTCGGCTTCTTCAAACAGAATTAGAGAGACAACATCACTAGTTTTGCTTCTCAACTGCAGAGTAATTGATAAATCG